GGTAATGGATAACCCCGGAACTTGCTGCTACTGCGATGCTATAGTAATTTTAAATTTATTTTGAAAACCTCTGAGAAACATGGAATTACCTGTTTATTATGCCAGTCTCATGTTTCTCCATGTCACTGCGGCCTTCATTTTTCTGGTTGCGTCTACAGTTATTTAAATGTTTTACTATTAAGTGTGGCTCACACCTGCTTTCTCTATATTTATTTTCTTACTATGATCAGGCCAACACCGCTGTGCTTTGTGTGTGGTGTGTGTGTGTGTGTTTACTTTTAGGTGTGTGTACCTGTGGATAGGCAGGCATGTGCACCTGTGTACACACATGTGTGAGGTCAGACAGACATGGACAGGGAGTGTCTCCTTCAGTTGCTTCTTCACCTTACTCTGCAGCCATGATCTCTGCCTCTTGATAGACTGTGTACCAGACTGACTGCTGACCTCCGGGAAATTTCCTTTCTCAACATCCCAAACTCTGGAATTACAGGTGTGTGTTACTGTTACATCCAATTTTCACGTGGGTGCCGGGAACTAAACTTAGGGACTTATGCTCACATTACAAGCATGTTGTGGCATTTGTGTGTAATAAATGTAGCAGAAGCTCCCGGCAATTGTCTATCATAAATAAGTGAATATTTATGGGTTCTGAACTTCATTTAATCCTACATAAATGCATATATTTTCCGAGTCAGATGCATGGCTACTTTATCGGTTTTTATGCACTACAAGATTTGTCAGTTTAGTTTTCACCAACTTTTTATAGCATGTCACAGCAATTCTGTTGGTCCAATGAGTTTTGTTTGTCTACTCACAAATACTGTTCACAATGGTATCATCAAAATAATGTCCTTTGTGAATGATCAAAACTGTTACTGTATTTTGAAAAGATGAGCAATTCTGAATTTGTATCTCCTATCCACAAATAACATATCAGTATCTCTATTGAAAGAACTGAAGTGTCAAATGTGACCGCAGGTATGAAAATACTCAGGAAAATGAAGTGTAATAGCCACACACAATTTCTGTGTCTCAGCTACTTATTAATATTTATTTGCAGATGATAAGAGGATGTCATCTCATCAGGAAGTGATTATTTTCTTTCTTCTCAGTTCCTAATTAATTAAACAAATATACCCAAACTTATAGAGAATTTGGTTTTTCTAAAACATTTCAGTCAAACAAATAATAGCACACTCTCATTGACACTAAGGGATTTTATCTGTTGGAAAACTAGATAAGAACAACATATACAGAATCATTAAGCCTGCAAACTAGATTTTAATGATATCATTCTCTATAAAGCACAGTTGAACTGTGGACATTGAACAATCTTTACAGCATCAACATAAAGTACTGAAAGAGATTTGAGGGTTACACGTGGCCACATAAACTATCAAATAAAGGCAAAGCCTAGTCATGTATGTGTGGAAGATAGATGCTGTATTAAATTAAATATGAAGTCATAATTATTTTGTTTATCTTGTTTCTCAGCAAGCATGAAAGGAACAGCTAGCTCATTTCTCCCAGGGAAATATGAAGAGGGATCCAGAAAGCTGAGCACATCAAGGCATTATTTTTCAACAATATACAGAGTTGCATCATAGTCTGATTCAATTTGTCATTTGTACATGAGTTCTCTGATAAGATAAAGGAACTCTGAATTGGTACAGGGTACAATGAGACCATTCTTGTACAGGGTTTGGGAAATGAAGGCTTTCTTAACATGTGAAATATTACCAGCTTTTCATAAAATGGAGGTGCATATTTAGTCTTTCCTCACTTGAATGAGAGGTATGAGACACACAGCATATGCATTAGTGTCCCCAAATTGCTTCACTAGACTTTTAGAAGAGCAGAGCATTTAACCATTAAAACAGAGTGCAGTTACTGACTACCTTATTCTCTGACCTTCCTTCTTAATATTTTTAATTGCTTGACAGTTTCTTTCATTCTTATGCCAAATTTCAGTAGTCTCCATTCCCATCCCCTCCATCTCCTACTTTCTTTTTAACAATTCTTCCTCATACTTGCATTTCCTTTGTGTGTGTGGTTCACTGAGTTTCGGGTTTCTTGCCTGCTAATTAATCGCCTATAGCCCTCAGGAAGGGTTCCTCCCCTGCCCATGATGAAATGTTGACAGGCCCCATCTTCTGTGGGCCTCATGCATTTAACCACAGCTGCAGTGGGCCCATGAATGAGATGACTCCATCATGTCATGTCTACAAGACCTCCTCTTGTCTTCTGGTCACACACCTCTCTATCCTGTGGTTCTGAAATCCCTCCCACCTCTCTTCCTCTGTGTTCTCCGATGCTTGGGAGAGGATAGCTGTCTGTTTTGTTGTTTCACTCTTAACGGAGTTCTGCTGGACGGCTTTCACTGACTACCTATGGGCATTCTTGGATTGAGTAGTCATCTATTAACCTCTCCGGTGCGTTGCTCTCCTGTTTGATGAGCTTAGCAGCTTTTCCTCACTGCACTTAAATCTGAGTCTCACCTAATCCTGCTAGGCTGGTACTCTACCAATAGGGGTGACACCTCCAGCCCCATTTGTATGTTTTTCTTGGAGGCAGGGTCTCCCTGTGCTGCCAGGATGGTCCCTTGATTTCCACTCCTTTAATAGCTGAGACCGTCTGAACTTACCGCCATGCCACCTCAGCCTCTGAGTAGCTGAAAGCACAGGTGTGTCCCACAGGCCTGGGGATGGGAGGCCTTTCCTTTCAGGCTGCCCATTCCATAGCAACGATTAAACCTCCTGTTTCGGTAATCCCCTCCCCCTTGGATTTGTAGTCTCTAGCTTCTCGCCCTTCACTGAACTCAAGAGTTATTAATTTTAATTTTTTCTCTTGAATTTATTTCTTCTTTAGTCAGCTTTAATCGTCTCATCCCCCTTTCTCATCATACGGTTTCTAAACGTATGCATTCACTGGCTTAGAGGACCGCTTTCAGTTCACTCCCGGCCTACCGGGCTTTTAACGCCATTGCCTGCTAAGGCGCATCATTCAAATGACATACGGACACTAGTAATTGTAGAGGGTAACTGACTTTTTAAAAAATTTTCTTCTAGGACAGTGGACTGTTATTTCTCATTGCTGTTCTACCCTTGCTAACGTCTGTCAAGTTTTTTCATACATACATACATACATGCATGCATACATACATATAATTATTCTATAAAAGCTGAATGTACTATCTAGTGTCTGGCATGATATTGTCCACTCCTGGTCCCTTGTTCCTCAAATAAATACTGCCATTTATTTGCTCAGTCAGACTCACAATTGTGGCACACTCCCTCTGTTTTTTTTTTCTTTACCAGCACACACACCCCCATACATATGCAAGCACACACACATGCATGCGCATACACACACATGTGAAAACACACACATGCATGCATACACACACACATGTGCAAGCACCTCCCCCCCACACACACACACAGTTCTGTATGTCTTGTGCCTCTTATATCTGAACCAACCTCTACACTGGATCTAGAGCTTCATCACACATGGCTGATTTTGTTTCTGTGAAATTTGATATGAACCCCTTCCCTGTTATCTCTTCACTGTCCAATCGTTCCAAAACAGAACAATAATAACAAAAATACAATGCAAAGGAAACATGACCAAGGCCAAATCCTAGCTGCGAACTTCAGGGGCTCTTGGCTCCCATGGACTCCGAGTCTTCTTCCTCTCTCGCATGCAGAGGAATGCCATGCCTTCAATGTACCAGAGCCTCTGTACTTCAAACTTTGTAAAACTGTTCCCTGAACCCATCCGTTACTTCCTTCCCATTCCCTTTGGGCAGAGAGCTCTCCCTGGCCCCGTGCTCTGCATTTATGCAGTATTTGTAAAACCTCAAGGGTGGTATTCGTATTTTACTACAGGTGGTTTAATACCAGCCCTTCCTTCCCCACAGACTAAGAGCTCAAGGGATGCCCTCATTGTGTTTGAATGAATAAATAAACACCCGATGGGCATGTCCCAAACACACAGAAGAGGAATAAGGATAACACAGACATAGGCCCACAGGCAAAGGCAGGTTATTTGGGAAGAATAGTCATCAGTAACATGACTGCTGGGGGAAAGTAGGGACCAAGATATAAGGTTACAAACTGAGCAAAGTACATCTTCATTTCTAGAAGCCCATTTGGGGATGTTGCTTGGTCTAATGCCTTGGTGATCATTTAAGGTATCAAGGAAAAACACAAGACCCACAGGGACCCTATATGATGACCTGTCAATAGGTTTGGAGATAGTGTCCTGAGAAGATGTTGCATATAGCAGGCAAATGTTTAGATCCAGAAGAGAGAGGAGGTTAACTGTATCCATTGCCAAACAGGACAATGCACATATGGAGTGTGACAGAACCTATCAGTCATTCCCTCAATGTAGAAAATCCAACAGTATAGTAAGTGCACAAATAAAATGGGCTAGAGAATTGAGGGATAAACCCCTATTATCCACAAAACTGGTAGTTTTCATGTATTTCTAATCTGTGCCATGTCTCAGATGAACTCAAGTACAATATTGCCTCTAGCAATTTATTTTAAAAAATCTGATTCAATTTGTCCAAAACCCCTGAAAGATATTGCCAGTTTAATGCCTGTATACATGTCAATTAAGATGTAGTCAAGACACTGTCCATCCTGAAATCATAGGGGTTATCAATTCAAGTTTAAGGCATTTAAAAAACATATTAGTAAATACAATGCAGTTGAGTTTCTAAAACACAAATCTTACATAAATATAAACTGATGTTTTAAGGTGATTTTCTATTAAATGTTTAATTCTACTTTCTGAGAAAATGTTTTTCCCCTTTATCAAGAGTGACAGTTCACCCAAGCCAAATCTACTATTCATCTTCAGCTTGGCTACTTTCCTTCACTTTCTACATCAGAGGAGGATGCAATCATCCTTTATGACATCATGCATACAGAGATGTATTTGCTCGGGTTTTTCTACATTCTTTTGCCTTTTCCGCCCACCCTTATACTCACATGTCGCTGGCAATTGAGGAGTTCCTGGACATAGACTTAGGAGAGAGGTCATAATCGCTGTCAGATCGATACAAGAAGGATTCCCGGCGTTGGCTGTGCACAAAGTTTGCTTGGAGAATTAGCCCAGATCCTGGGCTTGTCATGGGATCCAAGGGACTCCGTCCCGCTGATGTGCCATTGTCCACATCGAAACTGTGAATAAAGCAAAAACAATGACATTGTGGTCGAGTGTAGACAAGGTTCCACGCGGTGCTGAGAAGGAGGTATATTCTTTTGTGTTTGGATGGAATGTTCTATAAATGTCTGTTAAACCCAATTGGTTCATAACTTCTGTTAGTTCTTTCATTTCTTTGTTAAGCTTCTGTCTGGTGGACCTATCTAGTGCTGAGAGTGGGATGTTGAAATCTGCTGTAAGCGTGTGAGGTTTTATGTGCAACTTGTGTGCTATTTAGTGATGTTTCTCTTACAAATGTTGGTGCCTTTGTATTTGGGGCATAGATGTTCAGAATTGAGCCTTCATCTTGATAGAGTCCTGTGGTGAATAAGAAATGATCATCTTCATCTCTTTTGATTGATTTTAGTTTAAAGTCTAATTTGTTAGCTACATGGTCTCCTGGAGAAAGGGAAAGGGACAAGATCTCCGGAAGCAAATTGGGAGCATGGGAAGGAGGGAAGAGGGAGTTAGGAGAAAGAGAACCTACAGTCAAGAACCTACAGTTAGACGGGTCATAGACCCAAAGAGTGAATGCTCTGATGTTGCTAAATGAATATAGTATTAACTCTCATTGTGCCCATAGATTAATGCATTCCCCAACTTCCACCTAGGACCTTTTATTTGCTACAGATGGTGATCGACACTGAGATTCACCACTGGCCAAGGGGTAAAAAATAGGAGACTCCAAAATGCCCAACACTAAATGGAGCATATATACTGTATTCCTCCTCCAAAGGCTCAAGGACCACCATAGACAGCAAGGACCATTATAGTGAAAAGATTATAAGAGCCAATAGTAGTAGGTGACTACAAGAAAATATTTTCTGACTATAACAATGTAGCTACAATGTGAATCCACAGCTGTTGTCCAAGATAGACAAAACCCAGAATGGAGTGGGGACTTGGTACAAAATCTCTGTCCTAATCACGAGCAATTGTCATTTGTTAGCTGCAGGGAGAGTGAGGGTCAGCTTGCTCTAAGAGTATAGCCCCTAATAAGTTCCCCATACTCCAGTGGAAAGCCACACTATCTAAGAATATTTGGGAAGAATGCATTGACCTTCATTTGAGGAGATACAAAGTTGGGTGGGAAAGGAAGAAGGGGTGAATTTTGGACAAGTTGGGGAAGGGAGGGTGAATATGATCAAAACATGTTATACCAAATTCCCAAAGAACACATATATGTATGCATATGATATATATCCTTTACTGGAGCTAGACGCATAGATGGATGGTAGAATGTTTGACTGATACACATTAGGCCCTATATCCAATATCCATCAGTACAACAAACCACAGCAAAACCCCTTTCCTAAGTGGGGTGAGTGAATATAGAAAGAATGGAAGGCACTGAGTTCAATACAGATTTTTAAAGCCAGACAACAAACAGTAGCCACGTATAACAGCTTTCAATGAGATAGTCTTTATATCCCAGCTAAACTTTCCCAGACAAACTTTTTCTAATGAAATATTAGCAAACATTGAATTTAACCCTTATGTGTTCTTGAAGAGTAGAGAGTGGCAGTATGGGATAGGCCAGGGGATATGTGGTTAAAACGAATCACTGAATACAAAAAATGAATTAAAATCAAATTGTTACCAACATTCCCCCGTTAGAAATCTTTACCCAGGACTGAACGTGGAGCTCAGTGGTACAGTGCTGGCCTCTGTGCACAATGCCCTGGGGGTAAAATTTCAACACGTTCATGTGCATACCACACAGACACACACACATTCAACGTATGCCTCCCTATTTTAAAACATTTTTATTGTCTTTCTTGGGGTTATTCACATGCAATGTTATTTCTGAGCGTCCCAAGTAAGGCAGCTGGGGGGGGGCATCATTGATCACATTTACATTTCTGATGGAGCATCATGAGAATCAACCTTCAGGCCCAAAGGAAAAGGGAGAAAGTTATAATGTAGCTCAGTCAAGGAAACTCTTTCCCAGCTTAAATTCTTTTGTGTGTGTACACGGTGGTGCGTGTGGTATATGTACATGTTCGCCTATGTGTGCATGTGTGCAGGCCAAAGGTTGATGCTGTCTCCATCAATTGCTCTCAGTCTTATTTTTGAGATAGATTCTCTCACATAACTTGCACTTACTTTACTGACAATGGGGGCTGCCATACCGAAAATGTAATTAGAGACACGTGCAGCCCATGACAGGCTTTTAACTTGCATGAAGCAGTTACGAACTTAGAGCCTCTCGCCTGTGTGGCAAGGGTTTTACCAAGTGAGCCATCTCCCCGACCCTTAAGATTTTCTTACAATTGTGTCATCTTATAAATGTATTTATGTGGTTCTGTCAAGACACTGGTGGGTTATCTAAACATTCACTGTGTACACAAAGATGACAGCTTCTAGAAAAGCTGATTGACCAAAGTCACCAAGCTACGATTTAATAATCTATTGTCCCCAAAGTCCTCCCTGAGAGACTGCATGGATTTCATGTGGCACAAATAAGTGTCAGTAGCTGTAGACTGAATGAGAGGCCTCTGACTCACCTGGGCAGGGTCATCGCTTTGCAGGCCCCTGGGCTATCCCCAGGAAAGCCGGGAAGGCAGGGTGTTTTTACCATTGAAGAGGGGTATCGGGGAATTTGGGGAAGTTCTTTTTGAATGTTATTCATGCAATATGCATTTGTTAAACATTTATTATGAGTTTTAATCACATTTATACTGTGGTTAAAAGCATAGAAACAATAGTATTAATTCAGGCAGGGTTACCGGTGTCAGGCGGAGATGCCTGTGACGTTTCCATGGAGGAGGGGTAATTAAAGTGGCCTTTTAGTGCTATTCAACACACATTCAGTAGACTAGGGAGGGGCAGGGGTAGGCTTCTCTTTAAGGAGATAGTCACAGGGGACCCGTGATGGAAATTCTCTGTGGAGCGTCTGTGCTTGCTTCCCCTTATGATCCAGCGGAATGGCATTAGGGCTAAGTGAAACAGAAGGAAGGCGAACTCTACATATTCTTCATCAGCAACAAAGGCGATAGGAGAGTACAGCTTTAGATTTGCTTTTCCTCTGTTGGAGCAATGCTAACTGAATCACCAACAATCATTGATTTACAATTTAAATACAATTTTTGTTCACTTCAACTAGGAAAAATCTTAGCATATATAGACACCCTACGTAGTTTTTTGAAAAACATTACCAGATATCTTAAAATATTTTTGCAATAATACTATCTATAAAAATCAAAACATGTATCAATTGGACAAAAAACAAATGCCTGGTCTGAGATATAAGTAGGATCTTTGCTGTTTGTAGCTGTAATATAACATGTTGTCCACTAGATGGCAATAATGGTCTTAACTTTGGAGAATCTATTTTAAAGTTATTAAGGCCTAAATTACTAAAGACACAAAAATCTCATAAATATTATCTAAAAGAGTGCCTCAAATCTATGAAACTGCTTACAAATATTACTTAAAATTACAACAATCTAAGAAACATTTGTGTTAGTTTTACTTTTAAATTAATTCATTTCCTTCTTTTTCAAAGAGTGATCATATTGGTCTATAACTTACAACCAAATGACCTTCCAACCTTCATCTCTACAGCAGCTGTGACTAAAGACACATACCATCCATGCATGCATGGCTAAAAATTTGCTACCAAAATGGAGCTATTGGATTTTCACTTAAAAAAAAAAATACTCAGGAAGACATCACTAAAACTCTACGTCACTGAACGCATGCTATGCCAGGCAAGGTTTGGGAACACACGTTTTCTCAGAATACAGTTTGAGTTGGGAGGTGGGCATTTCGTCTGAAGTTATCTGCATGCTAGATTTCTATTATAGTAAGTGTTTCAATAATCAAAAATCAACACCAAGAAAAAGTAATATTACTGAAAATGCCAAGTTCAAAGCGTTAACTCATGCGGGGAGTGGTGAGTGACCTTACAGAAAGAGATTTTGTGTAATGAAGAGTGCAGTTTGTCTTTGTCCTTACATTAATACTGGGGTAAATACAGACATATGAATCGCAGCTCTTCTCAACCAGGCATCACATTCTCGGTAAGGGAATAAAACATGAGGCAGTTGTGAAATAAAGGCCACGCATAAAGCATTGGCTACAAATAGCCTAAAAATAAGAACGTATAGCACTGTATGAATTGGGCGATCAGATATGTCAGGAGACAACACACACACACACACACACACACACACACACACACATATAAAGGGGTCTGCGTGAACGGAGCGGTAAAAGGTCCAGGCAGACTTGAGGGTGGCAGGGGCAGAGGATGCCCAGCCAACACGAAGTGACACTGGTGAACCAAGAAAGGGTGGTGGTAAATGTGACTCAAATAGGACACAGTGCTGGGCAGCATCTGTGGGCTGGCACTGAGGAGCAATGACGGCATAAAAGTGGCAGCATTGTATCATACAACCAACAGGGAGTTGGGGTGGGCTAATGGAAGCCATGCCCAAGTTAGCGTCAGCTTGCAACAGACAGCTGTGGGAAGGACTCAGAGCTCCCTTAACAGCTATCGCCCAGGAGCCCAGGCCGCCACTGTTTACTTTTCGGTTGCCTACGTCCGTACGGCTTGGTTTGTGAAAATAAATGTGTTGTTTCTGCAATGACAAGAGTAGAAAAGATGTGAGAGGAAAACAAAGAACCAGAGGACCAGGAAGGACCTCCTCCCTAAGGAAATGCTTCTTACCCAAATCCTTCCAATGTGGGAAGGAGGGGGTCACCTTCAGAGGCATCTTTGTTCAGTAAACAAAACAGAACTCACACCCTGTTTTACCAGTGGGATTGAAAATCGACTGGGCATCAGACCACTCACTACTGGCTTAACTTTCTGAAAATTGGCTTCTTTAACAGAGGTGGCTTCAGAGAGCCGCTCAGTTTTGGATCACGGCCTCACAGACAGTCCTCAGTATTAATAAACCCAGACCGTGGTGTGGGGGAGACGGTCTTAATTCCGTTGTTGGTAGCAAAGAGACGGGTAGTGGCTTTCCTA